ACGGTTCATTTTCGAATATTCTTTTATCGTTCCAATTTTATCGGATCTCCGCGAAGGGACCGGTTCATTTTCGAATCTAAATTGTATTTAATTCATTTTTCCGGCCCCAAAAAACAAAAAAAAATTCATTTTTCTGAATAACACATTTTAAAGTTAGTCCCTCGTATTTCAGATTTTTCTTAAATTTGCCCCTTAGTTTTCCGATACATGATTTAGCAGCTGAGTGGAGTAATTTATTATTTTATGTATTCGTTAAATTTTTCTTATTCCGTTTAGATACATAATCTAATCATATGTAGACTTTAATTTAGTTTGATACTATGAGTAGTTAAATGAATTTTAGTGTGTTTGAAATAGGTGAATCTATTTTATGTTTTGACATTTTTCCATGTATGTGCAGTATTTTCATAGAAGAAAAACTATGTGGATGTGTCCCATTTACTAAATGCCTTGATTATTTTGCCTATAAATTTGCTAATAGGGTATGATTAGAAAACCACAAGAATAAATGGACGAAATTGGAATGTGAGCAGAAGTACATGGACCAATTCGAGCAATTAAAGATTCTGCTTCGTAAACGAGGCAAACGAGCGTTTTGATATAATTGGATGATCCACGTGACTTGGTAAAAAAAATATCTTTAAGAGAGTTTAAGACGTGCTTTACCACAAAATCACATCTCCTACTCAAACGACGTTGACCGATGACCAATCACAAACTGACTTATAAAAATTTGTATCCTAATAAAATAATTCACAAGTCATTTTACAATTAACTGCAACCCTCTCTACTTGCCATCTGTCTTAAGTCTCAATTCTTTCACTTTTACCATCAAAACTCAACACACACAAAAAACGATAGAAAAAGAAAAAAATCGATAGACAAATAAATAAAAAAATCGATAGAAAAACAAAAACAAAAACCTGACGACGGATTTGACACTTTTCCTGATTCTTCCACTATCTCTGCCGCTAATCTTGCCGCCGAGAGCTCTAACTCATTGTCGCTTTTCACCGACGGCGCTGGTTTTCCCGATGATCTTTCTGTTCCAGTAAATGTTCCATTTTTCCGGGAAAAAACTCACCTTTACCACATTCATTTGTTAATTCTTTTTAAAATTATGAATTTTGAAATGGGTCACTCTAATTCCTTGTGATTCTGATATTCATAGCGTCTAACGCACCTTTATATTCAATACA